CGTGTTGCCTTGAAAGTGAAAGCATTATTAAGTTCAACCTATTTGTGTGAATCTTCTTTTTCCAATATGAAGTTTATTAAGAACAAATATCGCAATCGACTTACAGATGAACATTTGGATAATTGTATTCGAATGGCTGTATCAAATTATATTGCAAACATTTTGTGAAAAACGAGGCTGAACACGGTATTACGCATTACAATTACACAAATACAGAGAGATAATTTTAGTTGCTACAGGGATTTCTAGAAGCAGTTATTCTAGAATTAAAAAGATGGCTAGTGAAGTAGAAGGTGGAGTTAGTACTTCATTTTCACAAAGAGGATATACAAAAAGAAGTTGTTCTAGAATTAAAAAGATGGCTAGTGAAGTAGAAGGTGGAGTTAGTACTTCATTTTCACAAAGAGGATATACAAAAAGAAGTTGAAGAGTTGGTATAATCCATGATTTTCATATTATTGAGAAAAGACTACCAACTCTAAATTGTAAGTTACTATTTTGATTATAATGGCAATGTATTTAATATAAATATTATTTTAGGTATATTACAAAAAATGAAGGATTGTTGTTTTGAATTCCGGGGCAGCATCTCATCGCTTAGGAAAATATTATTAAACATGGGTTTTTAAGTAAGTATAAATAACGTTATCTAAAAAAATCAAAATAAAATGATACCAAAATAATTAATTTCTCATAGTCAAATTTTGTACGTATAAAATTACAATGTTTATTTTTTCAGGTGGAAAAAAAATGAAGACAACAGATCGGTTCTGTTGGAATCCTACGACCTTAGGAATAAGAGTACAAATTATTTAAAATCCTTAATACATTATCGGCAAGAATGCAGAACTATTTATTATTGTGATGAGACCTATTTACATAGTAGTCATACACATTCGAAAGGATGGACCGATGGCAAAGGCAAATTCAAAACTGCAATGAGCAAGGGGAAAAGGCTCATAATGTTGCATGCAGGGAGTAAGGATGGTTTTGTAGAAAATAGACTGTTGATATTTACTTCAGGTAATAATCTATTTTTTTAAAAAATTATTTATTATTTGCATTTTACCTATTTCATAAAAATCCATGATGCTTAACAATCGAAAGTTATGATCAGCTTGAATTTATTTTAAACTGTTAAAGTATCTAATTAACAAGTAATTTAAGTACTTAATGTAGTGGTTTATTTTATTATCTTCAGTTTAATTAAAAGATCTTTACCTGTACTTAATCCTTTATTGTTATAGAAGGGAACGTTTTTAGTAATAACTTTTTCTTAGGATTATTATAATAAGTCTTATCATCTTAAAGAAATATTTCTTCTAAACACAGATTATTTTTTAAGTGATTTAAAATTCCTAATAATGTTTGCTTAACTAAGCAATTATTTCAATTAAAAGAGTTTTTTTTGTAAGTTTAAGTATCATACAGAAATATGGGCCACAGTAAAAAATTGGGTGGGTCAACATAACACAACATTCAAATTGGATAATGTTGAAAAGTTGGCAAGAGAAAAATTCCGAAGCGTAACGCAAACGTGGTGAACCATTCCGCGAAATATGAGGATGCATATATTCAAAGAGAACACCTTATGGATGAATTTACAGATAACCTCATATTTAGTGTAAACAGGGGGTCATCCGATGAGTGGGAATCCGATATTTCCGACTTGAAAGATGATGAAAATGTTTAAAATTATACAAATTAAATTAAAATATATTATTTATTTAAACTTTTAGTTGTTTTATTAATTTAAGGTTCATCAGCAATTTAATTAACGAATAGTTAAAATTTAACATTAACTTATTAATATATTCGATTTAAAATATTTTATTAATTTACACACGCCACTGCTAAGATATTAGGTACCCCTACGCAGCAGATTTCAGCCCAGCGCCATCAACTATAGTCTATTTTTATGTATGAGAGAGTAATAAAACAGCATTTCTAATGCAAAACTTAGTACGGTCATTTTAAATATTTTTACAGAATAATCTAAATATTTCCTAAAATTGTAATAAATGTACCTGAGCTATTACAAGTTTTGGGTCTTTTATTGGTCCTTTATAAACATAAGCTGTACAGAACAATAGGAAAAGGTTTGGACAGGCCAAAAGCCCTGTGTATTAAAGATTACATAGCCGTATCTTAAGATTATTTTCAATAAGTACCTATTTGCCAATTTTGTTTTATTTTAATTCCAAGAATTTCTTACAGTAATCGAATTATAAGTAGATAAATACCTTCCCAACAAATTTCACCGAAAATACGATTATAGGTTTTCCATTTAGTAAGGAGGTCCAAGTTGTGTATTCTTGACAGTTTACTAAATGTCGTTTAGTTGCAACTTGCAAGGTGCAGTGTGAATTCTAGTGTAATCATGGAAAATTTGGAAGGGCCGCGTAAACAACAAAAAATCGGTCCTTTAACAGTTAATAAAAAAAAAAACATTAATATTTAATTGTTTTAAATCATTTACAGACAAACATTTATATAAAAGTGTTGATGACACAGTGGAATTAGTTAGTAGTACGCTTGGTGTTGGGAAATCTACGATTTACAGAGTTGTTAAAGAAGAGAAATGTGGCGAGTTTCAAACAGCACGTAAAGCTCCAGGAAAACCAAAATTTCAATTAGAAAATCTTTTGAAAGAGTCTTCGAAGGAAAGTCTTTAGAAAAGAATTTCCGACAGTAGACAAAGTTCTTGCCACGGTTCGAGATGATAAGGATTACCCTGAAATGAGTCGAAGCACACTATGGAAACTTATAAAAGAAATAGGTTTTCTATGGAAAAAGCATTCCAGAAAGTCTATTTTAATAAAAGGAAGCATTATTGTAGTATGGAGAAGAAATTACCTAAGGACTATAAAAGAAATGAGAAACCAAAGAAGAAATATATTTTATTTAGATGAAACATGGATCAACGAGGGACATAAACCAAATAAATTTTGGCAAGATGAAACTATTACAAGTCGAAGACAGGCTTTTTTAAATAATTTATCTACTGGTTTAAATCCACCATCAGGAAAGGGGCGCAGACTAATAATAGTACACATCGGTAGTTCAAACTGTTTTGTTATAGGTGGTTTATTGACTTTTGAATCTGCTCGTACCGGTGACTACCATGAGGACATGAATGCTGATGTCTTTAAAGAGTGGTTCGAACAAATTATAGATCTTCTTCCTCAGAACTGTATAATAGTAATGGATAATGCAAGTTATCACTTGAGACTTATAGAAAAAATGCCCACAACCAAGTGGTTAAAAAAGGATTTACAGAATTGGCTAAATTCAAAGAATATTAAGTTCCATCCCGGTTCTGTGAGAAAAGAACTGTATCATTTGTGTTCCCTTCATAAAGAGAAATTCAAGAAATATGAAATTGATGAAATTACAAAAAATCGTGGGATGACGGTGGTTAGATCACCACCATATCATTGCGAAGTAAACCCGATTGAACTGATATGGGCACAGATAAAGGAAGAAGTTTAAAAAAAAAATAATAATTTTTTTAAAATGAGTGATGTTAAACAGTTGTTTTTGGAGGCTTTAAATAATGTGAAGCCTGAAAACTGGGAAAAGGCAGTAAATCATACGATTAAAGAAGAAGAGAAAATGTGGAAGTTGGACAATATTACTGATGAAATGATCGAGCCACTCATTGTAAATATTGGTTGCGACAGTTCATCTTCTGATTTCGATTCTGATTTGAATTTGTAGGTAAGAAGTAGTTTTTATATTAAAATTATTATTTATGAACGTAACGTTGTTTAAAAGTCAAAGTTTAAACCCTTATACCTACATAACCCGTTTGACACAATGTTCTTAACATATCTTGTGGAAAAATAAAACATTTTAGAAAAAATTGCACTTTTTTACCTTCAGCTGTTAATTAGGTGAAAATATAAGTGTATACTCGAGGAATAACTTCAAAAAATATTTTAACTGTCTACTAAAAGAAGTGGTACGCCTATGGATTACGAACGCTTTATTATTTTAAAACTCTCTCATACATAAAAATAGACTTCTTTTATAAATCTCCACAAAGTTATGATGTACTGCGCGAACTGTGGCATAGCTATGACGAAATGTGCTCTTCACAAAAAAATCGAGCTCTAGAAAATTTTTACAATTAAAGATTAATTTAAATAGCTCCCAATTTTCTTATAAAGGATTAAATTCTAATCGTCAGAAAGTATTATGCAGATTGTAAATTATTTTAGTTAAGATTTACATTTCTGTTTATATAGTCCTGGGATGGTAACACGCAAATTATATTCCCAGAAATGCATTGTACATATAAGAGATACCGTTCTGCTTATTTTGCTTGATTTACCCTAACAATAGAATGCAAGTACAATTGTGAGAATTTGCATTTTTACATTGATATTTTTATTTTATTATAATTATTATTATTATTATAATATTTAGTTTTGTAGATGAAAAGAGCTCAAAATCATTGTTTATTTTTCAAAAATAAAGTTTTTTAATTCTACAATCATTTAACTGGCACAGTCAGTAGGATTTTCATGAAGAGAGACGACAAAAATCGCGTTTTTTGGACGATTTTAATCGTTTGCGTAATCTCGAAGTTTTTCAATGAACGAAAGTTTAAAAAATCGTCTGGAAGAACCCTAAAACTTTTATATATGCACTTAATTTTCCTTGGGAATTATAAAACTATTTTGTTAGTTACGTCAATTCAGCACTGTTGCCAGATTGTGTGTTTCCAATACGGAATATAGTCGATATTTATGAAGAGGCATTTTTTATTCTTTTAGTAACCTTATTTTAAAAAAAGAGTTTAAAAATCGAAGCATCATGTGCAACCACGCTTTATACAGTCCACTAATTATTAATTAAGCTACGCATTTTAGGCCGTGTCTTGCACACAACCTTTTAATTTGATACGACTGGATTAAATACTGATTTTTAGAATAGTTGGAACAAATTATTGTCATTAAACAAAAACACTTTTATAACAACTACTTGCCACTTACCTAATTAATTCCTGATGTAATAAAATGCACTCTCTTAAAGTAACAAAACTTGCAGTGGCATCATCACATCCACACTCAATTTTAACTTTTGCTACATATTTCTCAAAATTTTTAAAAATATGTGTTAATATTCTGACTTCTCCCAATGGATACATAATTAGACTAAAATGGAAGATATGGAAATGGATAAATTACATACCTATACCAAGATTATAGCATGTTTAAAATAAATCTACTTCTACTTACCTAAAATTCATTATGTCAACACTCATCATAGCAGTAGTAAACAGATATTCAATCATGGTTTGATAAGCTACAACTGTCCAATAATGTTTGTTTTGGTCGAAAGGAAACCATGTTGATAGTGCATGTTTTCTTAATAAGATTGTTTCGTTTAGAACTGGGTCAAATACTTTAGTCGTATTAAAATACGGTCTAAAATGGATCGCCACTGTAGCTAAAACAAAAACTTGGTTTGGTATACTTAAGGGCGCAGTATCACTGTATTTTTCATATAAGAAGCAAGGGTTCACCATTTCCGATTGCATTTAAATCCCGCTAAATGTATTAAAATGAATCTTCTACCAGCTTAAAGTATAATGTTTGGAGAATGAAATCTCCTATTTTTTATTTGTCCTGTTTATACACTGAATTTTAAAAAAAATCATAAAAAGTGATTTTAAAACCACAGGCTAAAAAGTAGGAGATTTCATTCTACATATTTTTCCAAGTATCCCGCCAAAATATTTCTAAATTTTATTGCGTATTTTTCAAATCTAACTGGAAATACGATTAACAAATATTTGATAAATTTATTTGTCAAATTAGAGATTTTCTATGAATTCCTGTAATTGTGTATAGTTCATGTAGTTCATCTATTTTTAAGAAGATGTCACCGTAAAAAAATCTAGCTACTCTGTTTTAGAGATGGTTTTAATAGGTAAATGATTGTTTAGAGGTACCAATTTTTGAAACAATGATACAGCTGTATGCCGTCTTTTATTGTTTCGTGATTTTCATATATATTTGTCTCGCTTTGCATTCCAGATACAAAATTATCGATTTGTGTTCCTTGCGTATGAACAAGTATTGGCCACGTTGCCAGATGTACAATAAATATCGATTTATACGATAATTTCACAATTTTTTTTCAGGCGAATTTAATTTTAAAGTGGGTGAAATGTGAAATGCGGGAGAGGAACTTTATTGCATTGAGATGTAATTTGAATCCGAATGACCTGGCATCACTGTATGGTACGCACGTAATATTTGCGGGACTTGCTTTCTTCTAGTGAATGTTATTTTATCTTTATAAGGAACTTTATTTCTGAGTTAACACGTTGACTGCTATGTGTATATGTACCCTTGTGTATGTCCCATTAGTGCGTAATTGTTCAATATTTTAAATTGTGTTAAAGACACGCAAACATGTTTCAAAGAAAAGTTATATGGATTTAGAAAATACATATTTTAAAAATATTTTTGGATATACAGGGTGTTATATTTTTGCCTGGCATATTTTTTAAATAGAACAACATGTATTTTATTTCAGTTTTAGAATGATTTGGTAATACTGTATTCAAGCCTAGAATGTTTAAAAAAACTATTACAGGTTTGCCAAGCAATTAAATTTTTATGAAATTAGAGAATGATATGCAGACCCCAAATTAAATTATCATAATTTGGGTAGGATCACATTAATTTCAAAATTGTTTAATATACAGACTTGTAGCACATTAAGATAACAAATAGTGTTGATAGTGCTGGATTCTTTTATACCGAGTGTTTTGAAACTTGTCTTATATATGGCTACTTTGAGATTTAATTTACTTAATTTTTTCAAAGGCAACATATTTTAGCATACAAGTCCTTATAAATTTGCCTGTTCAACAATACCAACATGTTAGAGAATAACACCCTGCAGGTAGTTATACATATTTGATTGTTTTCAGGTTGTCAAATAATTTTAATTGACTTCATTCATTTGCTATGTTATATGTAGGGTGTATCAAAGCGCGAGGTTACGATTTTTTTAATTGTTTCAATGGAATTCACTGTATTAATTAATTGGTGGTATAACATAGAGAGTATCACATTTAAAAAATTGAGAAAATCGTAACCTCAAATTTTGACACATTCTATATACAACATATCAAATGAATCAAATTGAAAATATTGTTCGACGATGTAAAAACAATCAAATATGTATAACAACCTGCAGGGTGTTTTGCTTTAAAAATGCACACTGCATATTTATGAATAATTGTTAAATATGGTCATACAACTTTTATATTATTTTTTTTTCGTATTTCCTATTATAAAACTCATGTGTTATTGACTATCCTATTGGTATCGTTGGATATGTAAATTTATAGGAATTGTATGTTTAAATAACATACAGCGTGTGGCATTTGAAAAAATTAAATAAATTTAACTTGGAATTAGCCATATTTAAGACTTGTTTTTCAAAACACTGTATAAAATAATCCAGTTCTATCACCACTATTCATTAGCTTAGTATCTTATTACTATTTTTTTAAATTAAATTATAATTTAATTTAGGGTCTGCATCATTCTCTAATTTCATAAAAAAATTAATTTATTGGCAACCCTGCAATATTTGTTAATAAAGTTCTAGGGTTAAATGCAGTATTACAGCATTGCATGCAGCATTCTAAAACTGAAGTAAAATACAGGGTTTTTTATTTAAAAAATATACCTTTTTATTTGTCAGACAAAAACGCAAAACACTGTATGTCTAAAAATATCTTTAAAATACCCATTTTTGAAATTCATATAACTTTTTATTTAGAAATTATTTACGTGTCCATAACACAAATTGAAATATTGAACAATTACGCACTAATGTATGTCCAGGGCCGACTAGAGGGGGGGGGGTAGCCGGGACTAATTCCCGGGGCCCGGGCTTAAATGGGGGCCCGGCAGCGCTGTAAGGGGGCCCGGCAAAGTTTTTTTTTGTTCTGCATGAGAAATTCGACACAAGATGAGAGAGGGAAGTTAAGTTTAAATTAATTAAAAGTTTTAGCCTAGAGAAGTTTTATTCGGGTGAGGACTTTTTTTTTGTTTAGAAGAAGAAGTAATTGAAAGGGAGAATAGTTTTTGATGTAAAGACCTTTTAAATTCTATTTCAGTAGAAGAGGAACAGTTTTTGGTTAAAGATTTTTTTGTCACATGGCCCGATCTAGCGAATTGTCCTGGGGCCCGGCCTGGCTCTCGGCGGCCCTGTGTATGTCCTGAATATATTATTAACAATATATGCATGCCACATAGGTATGTTTGTAATAATTTAATCCCGCGCCGCGTGTATGTATTTTATTCGCGCATCTATTAGATATTGTAGTTTACCTAAGTATTTACTTAAACTACTTAAAACGTAAAAACAGACTTAAATTTTTAGAAAAACTACTTCGGCTCAGCAGACCCGACCACAACATTTGCTTCGGCAGACAACGTGTTTTAAATGCTTTTTTATTTATTTGTTGTTTAATGTGTATTTGGTTATTAATATTTCAAAAATGCTTATTTTTCTTATTGATTAATCTAAAATGAACACGTAACCCAGACAACACACCAAATCCCAGAGATATCCGCAGAATATCTTTTGTGTATATCCAATATATCCACAGGATATCAGAAATATTCCGTGGATCTAATATGGATATCCAAATGTCCGTCTATATCCAAGATATAGAAGATATCCTAATGGATATTCAGCAAAATATATAATGGGTATCTTCCAGAAAATACAAGCAATCACAGAGATATCCACAGAATATATTTTGTGGATATTCACTATATCCAATATGGATATCCAACCAAATGTCAAATATAGAAAATATTCGGATATTCAGCAAAATATTTTATGGGTATCTTTAGTATAGAGGTTCATAAGTAACCAATGATTATTGATTGAATAACGTCGAAAGAAAATAGCAGAGATAAAAAATATTTTCAACACTCAAAATATTTTCGACACTCTGCCTCTGATTTTGCCCACTAAGGAGAAAGTCATCCTTATTAGGACTCTTCAGCAATAAATGAAAATTCTCGACTCCAGTCTCTAATGGAGTGGTTAGGACACACATTTCGATCGAACTCAGTTACGGCGGGTCGAGCATGAGTAGATGCGATAGTGGTATCGCCATCTATACTTAGTAAGCAGAATCAAATAACATCTAGTGGATATCCACGATGGTTTGCGTTCGCGCCTAGACTTTGATATATTTAGTGGATGTTCATGGGATATTGAATACACCTTAAAAAAATTAATTTTAAATATCTGAACAGTACTATTAGCCACAATGGCGAGCACAGTGGCGTAATTTTTTAATAATTTGCTATATAATTACTATTATTTATGGACATTTGCATGTCTATAAATTACATTTCATGAATATAAAATAGATATCTACCATGGACTGGACATTCAGTGGATATTGGGATGTTCAGTAGATATCCAAAGGATTGGGTGTGCTGTCTGGGAATTTTTATTAATAATTGAAAATAGTACTGTAATTTTAAATTGATAAAAAAAAATTATAATAAAAACTTAATATGAAAACATAAATTACGACTCTACAAATGAAGTAAATTTTTATAATTAATTTCTCTCTTCTTACAAAAACATTATCTCAGCAATATGTCATAAGTTGCATACACACAGTATGTCTATGTAAGTTGACAGCATATAGAAAACTTTTTTTATTATTCATTTTATGTAAAAGTTATTCTTTATAAAAATGTATGCATGGTCTAACAGAAAATGCAACCACCCGATATCAAATTTTATCAGTCGGTTTTACAAGGTTTGTCAAAAAATTTATTTTCGACAAACCCTATATACGACTGATAAAATTTGATATCAGATGTTTGAATTTTAGGTTTTAGACCATGCATAACTTTTTATGTAAAGTAACTTTTTTTCTAAAATTAATAGACCATTCAATTGTTTATGAAAAATAAGATTTTTTCTTAAAATTCTTAAAAAAGTTTTCCGTATGCCGCCAAGTTACACAAACATACTACATATAAATGAGATTAAATTTGTTGAAAATAATTTTTACTGATGCAGATCTATATAAAGTATTGTGGTTAAATACGGTAATAAAAACACTTTTTTATTATATTTTTCTTTTTTTTTTATTTGATTCATTGGCTGCAAGACCTTTCGGTATATACAGGGTATTCCATTAAGAATGGAAGCAACTGAAGATTAACTGATCAGAAATAAGCCGATTAAACGAAACATCCGTAGGTAAAACATTACTCGAAAATCAAAAATTATAAACAGCTACAATTTTTTTTGTTATTCAGTTTAATTTTACTAAATTCGGCAAACGTTATTGGTGTAATAAAATACACCTATCAGCAAAAAAAATAAGTTAAATAAGCTTTGCCAGTGGCATACTTCATGGGCAAGTAACACCTTTTTCCCTTCTAAATTTTAGT